CAGTTATAGATGTCTCTCATTCCCATTATTATGATATCCGTAAATGTTATATTATAAAATTATTATTATTATTATTATTATTATTATGTTATTTTTTATAATCCGTGAATGTTAGCAACTGGACAAATTGAATGCAGCGGTCAAGGAAAAGCGACCAGAATTGGTCAATCGTAAAGGTGTCATTTTCCACCAGGACAATGCTAGGCCGCACACGTCTTTGTCCACTCGGCAAAAATTGATGGATATTGGTTGGGAATTGATGTTACACCCACCATATAGCCCTGATCTCGCGCCATCGGATTACCACTTATTTCGATCCCTGGACAACTCTCTTCGTGGTAAAACTTTTAACGATGACGACGCTGTAAAATCTCACTTAACTCAGTTTTTAGCCGAAAAGGATCAGACTTTCTACGAGCGTGGAATTGTCAAGTTGTCAGAGAGATGGCAAAAGGTCATCGAACAAAATGGAAAATACATTACAGATTAAACTTCGTTCCAAGCAAAAAGAAATTTTTTATTTCATTGAACAAACCGGCAATTACTTAGTTGCCAACCCAATACATCTCCCGTTCCCAAATCGTCCATGTCTGTGCTCAATCCGAGCGTCAATTATGAAGAACTGACTGCAGTTGTGTCGGTAGCATCGAATGTTTCATTTCGCGAGTGCTCGCGACGCAGAGTGCGGAATCCGCGCGAGTGCGCGGATCCGTGCCAACGTGAAACGTTTCGCGGTTTTCGTCGAAGTATGAATTAAGGACGGGAATTGGGAGGGGTTACGCGTGACACGGCGGAGGCCCATTAAAACGTTTCTAAAAGTCGGGCGAGCACAACCGGCAATGACAATCCTCTTTCAACGCAGCTCGGTGGCCAGAGTCCTCGCGATGCATCCTTCACAGAGCCGTTGAATAGCGCCGGCTATTCAGCCGTCTTCTGCTTCACTGGAAATTCGTTAACGCTACACACGGACGGACGAACGGACGGACGGACGGACGGCCGCGCGCTCCGCGCCGTGGTCCATTTTCCAAAAGAAGAGACCCGAGAGATACACCGGTAGCCACAATAGCTGTCCACCCTCACTCCACTAACCCACATACCGGCGAAGCCGCGTTTTCTAAGAGGTCGCCGCGATTATTTTCAACGTTTACGATATCCGTGTCTCTTCGCCGGTCGGCCAGGATGGACGGTAACGATGCTGGTTCCGTTTCTGTTTCAGCGAAACTGGACCGCGCCTCGAAGGAGACGTGCAGCGGCACGAGCGTGAACGGCGGCGGCCGACTGCTGCTTGTGGTGAGTCTTCTGGTTCTGGGCGGGCTGCTCAACCAGAGGATCGGCGTGCTTCCGCTCTTCGACGCCAGAGGCTTCGTCTAGCTCCTGCGTCCGGTGGTCCGGACCGTCCTCGATCGTTGAGGGAGCCAAGGTTTTTCGGCTGGAACGCGAGACGAAGCAGCCCGGATCGGGGGACGCGCGCGGAACGGACGAGGACGCGAGAGCACGGACAAAAAAGCCAAAAAGAACGGCGGAGAAAGAAAGAGAGAGAGAGAGCAAGAGAGAAAGAGTGTATGCGTGGTGTGTGCGTGTGCGTGCGCGTGTGTGTGTGTGTGAAAGAGAGGAAGCGAGGGAACGAAGAAGCGAGAAGAGAAGAGAGGGTGCTGTAGGAACGAACGACCGACGAGGGTCTTCGGGAACACGGTGGCAACGGGTCCACGAGAACGTTGTCGCCGCCATCGACACACGCGAGGAGACACCGAGAACCACGGGGAAGCAACAAACGAACGGAACAAATGAACAAAACAAACAAAAACAGACATATCAACGCGCTCGGGAAACGGGCGCGCTCGATCGGTCGCGCGGTCGACGGTCTCCGCTTACCGGTGCTGAGAGAGAAAAAGCGAGCGAGAGAGAGAGAGAGAGAGAGAGAGAGAGAGAGATTCCGCTCGCGGACCGACGCGACGGATTCACGGCAAAGATCCGCGGTGTCGAGCGGAAACGCGCGCTAGAAACTCTGCGCTAGCTACCTAACCCGGCCGGGAGACTCGAGGATCTCCTTGGACCCTAGCGTCGCCAAGTGCTGGCTCACTTTTCTTTGTCTCCCTTGTTTTTCTATTCCCTTTCGTTTCTATTCTACAAGTTCTTCTTCCGCCCCGTTCCGAAAAACAGCTCCGAGAGTGCGACGCGACGCGATGTAACGCGACGCGACGCGGCTCCGATCGACGGGCCCCCGACCCTGCAACTGGATCCTGGATCCTCGTGCGTGACGACGATCGGTGCAACCTGGTGACCGAGTACACGCGAACGTTCGAAAGCCCCCGGTTAGATCGGCGGTAGTGGTTCCATCGGTAAACGAGCGACCTGGTAAGTAGACCGCGGACGTTTCGGCGAATTTTTATCCTGTTTCGCTGTCCAGGCCGTCTCTTTACAGTCTAGTCCTCTGCGTTTCGAGCATTCGAGCCTCTGACAGCAGAGATGGGCGATTATTTTGACCAGCCCCAGGATTAGCCCCTTGCACTGCGACTGCTTTCGTAGCTACGTTGATATTAACACATGCTTGTCATTAATAAATTCTTACGTGGGACAGATCATTTAGATTCAATGCCTTACACCGACAACCTTTGCTTTCAACGATCGAACGGGCGGACCTCGCCGACAAAACTATAACCGACCGTGCTTAAAAGGTCGTTCGCAATTTTATTCATTTATCTTTCTTGACATATCTTTTAACGCGCCCCATCTAGATGCGTTAGTTCTTCCATAGACTTTAATCAAACTTGGGAAAGTTTAAATTAACTGTCAGAAACTTGACGTTCAAATGGCAATTTCTGTCCAAGCGCTATTTGAAATATTCACCATGGAAGGATAGAATTTTATCTCGGTTATTCTCTGTTGTTCTCGCGAATAACATTCGTACTTGGTAGATCCCGATAGCAACGGGTTAGTATGCTTTTCTTTTTGTAAAACGACCATTCCAAGAACCGCCAGTATCGTCGCTATTTCGCTAGAGAACCGCACAGATTTTTGTTAGAGGTGCTCGCTGTCTTCTGACCCGCCGCAGATCACGATTTTGTTCGGAGAGTTATTAAAAGCAACGCATTTAATTTCGATGCTTGGTAGGTTCAACGTTAAACACTGACGAGACCGTTGTGTCTCAGGGCTCAGACAGTGAACAGTGTTAAGCGTACCGATAAATGCACTAGACAAAATTGAAACGACGGCGTACAGCTGCGAAATTTTTTACTGGAATGTCGCCGAGCTTCGGGCGAATCGTCCTTCGGACGTTCTTTTTATGAAAACGCGTGTAACGTGAGGCTAATGCATGTTGGTGCACTTGAGAAATGCACTCGTTTCCCGTTACATTGACGAATATTCGGAAAATTGTTCGACTGTATCGGAGGAGGTTTCGGATGTTGATCGAGTTTAACCGGTGCCCAACTCTGCTCGCTAGGCACGGTGATACAAGAGTTACTAGATCTGGATCAGACAGTGTCCTCTACTGCCTAATCAACAGTGTCCCGAATCTGATCGTCAGAAAAGGATCGCTCCGGGTCCAGCGATCGCGAAAATTGTCACGAAGTTATTATACTTGTTCCAGCGATAGCCGAAAGTTCCTCTGATCGATGTCGGCTCGAGAACACGGTCTTCCTGGTTAAGAAGCTTGACAGTTCCTAACTCGTTGGGTACGCGATTCCTTTTAGGAAAATTGCGATCGTACCGCGGAATTTCATTTCACGCGCAAATTTATTGGTCACTCCGAACCGATTCCGTTGCTAAAAATTCCATTGCTATTGAATCTGGGATTTGATAATTTCGGAAATTCTAGAGACTAATCACCAGACCGCGGATTTTATGCATTTATAACAAGAATGAACAGATCAAATGCAAAATAGCAAGAACATTTGTACAATTTTGTTTTAGTGTCAAACTTATTAGAACGATTAAGAAGAGAAATAAATGTCCGTGCAGTTTTTGCATATCGTAATTAACGAAGACAATTTTTACTTTGCAGAAAAATTCACAGTCTCTACTGGTTACTTATTTCACTTCAGTGCCAGCTATAAAAGAAATCGGATTCAAAATTGCTAGATTCTTCGAAGTCCGTTGAACGGGAAAAAACAAAGGACGCAACGATTCATCGACGATATAAAATGCTGAAAATATTTTCTCGGCGGATATTTTCTCAATCGTAGCTTCTTCCACAAATTGGTTCACGAGTTTTCCTGTTAAAGTTAACCGAGCATCCGAAAAATTATAGTCGCCGGTCTAAGAGGAGCCGTCGTCGCTTCGTAATTTCTCTTATCTGCCGCCGCCACGGCATTTCCAACGGCATGCCCATGTGGAAACCATAATCTCCGAATCTTATCGCGATTTTTACAGCTCCCTCCCGCCTCCGCGTCCTCCCCCACGCCCCCACGAAATCGAATTTCGACGCGTGGTCGCTGCCGATAGCCGGGCACGGATTAAATTTAATCGGAGCTTAATTCTTCTCACGTACAGGATATTTTTATTCGGTTGAAGGAAAAATTGTTGATTCGACGAGCGGCCGAATCGCCCGTTGTTTTTGCCGGATTCAATATTTTTCGGGCAAATAGAAAAGTGCCGTCGCTCCGCGTTCTCTCTCCGTGCAGAAACGAAAAGGGCGAGCAACGTGTTACGAGCAATCCACGCAATATTAGCGGATTATTCGAGCAAATAGTGGATTACTTATCCGAGGGGCTTGAACCTCTAATCAGAATCGAATTAAAGCTTCCCCGACCTCGAGTACGTTTGCTATTCCGACCGCCTGCCGCGTACGCTATAGCTCGCGATCGTTCGAATAACATCGTGCGCGCTCGAGGCTCGAGACGCGAGCCGTTCGTTCAATTTGCTTGATTAAAATCTTGTCTCTTGCACGCTGGTGGCTTTCGCACGCGATTTTCACGGGCTTCGTACGCGTCGAAAATCCTGCAAAATTCACTGAAACGCTTCATGCCGCGTAGTTCGCGACGGTAAAATTCAATTCGACGTCGAAGACAACTGCGATCGGTTACGTTCGTCGACTACGCGAGACATTCTTCCGACGGTTTCCGACGGCGGATGATCCGCTCGGGTGCAATTTCGCCGCAAACCCTTCGTTTCTTAAATAAAGTAAACGTTCGCGAACGTCGCGATACCTCTCTTTAACGCAAGATTTACGGGACGAAACGGCGAGTTTCTATACCCGTCTCAATTCATGCTTAGCGAGTTTGGAAACACGCATTCGTAGAGAATTAGTTCGACAAACTTGTTTCCTCGAGCGTACGTTGTGATAACAATCGCTAAAAATCTAAATAAATATATTTCCGTTGTTTCTAATTAATTTCTATTTATTTCTATTTTTACTTCTACTTATTCGTTAAATCGTTGCCTTCCAGTGTTTCACTAGCGTCGAACGTTCGTCAAACTCGTTACGCTTCGGCAGCTGATAATTCCTCGAGCATTGCAAATTCTCGCGTGAGATTTTCCAGAGACATTCCTGAAGGCTTGAACTACAAGATCCTGCGGAGAAAGAGCGAGAAAAAGATCATTTTCATCGGGGAGAGAAGTAAATTGGCAGCTTAGGAACACGTGGGCATCAACAGTCGGTCGGAAATCGGCGGGTGCATGAAACTCCGCAGTCTAATTGGGATCGCGGGGGTGGAAGAAAGTTCCGCAGGCCAGTCGACGACCGGGAACCGGGCTGATTAAATGATTGCGTTCGGATCCCGAGGATCCTGCGGCATTTTTCCGTTTCAGGAGAAACGAGGAGGCGAGGCGAGGCGTTCCGGGGGCGCACGTGGAATGTTTCAGGCTTTTAGCAGGTGGGGGAGCAGGGGTTGGGGTTGCGACGGGGGGTTGGAGAGACCGATGTGGGTCACCGGATCGCGGGCTTTTATTTTACGGGCGGGATCGCCGTCGACCTGAACGTTATCGCGGGACGCACTCGTCCCGTGGATATGGATATACGTACACATATATGTACCCGGGACTCGGCACCCGGCAAGGATGACTCGAGCTGGCCGCGGCCGTTGGAAAATTTAATAAAACGGCCGGCCATTATCCGCGCGCGTGTTCGTTATTCTCTATTTCCTGGACGAAGCCCGCATTCGACCTACGACCGTTCACGCGTTTCCCGAGACCAATCGACCAAGATTCCGACGAAGGACACGACGTTTTGGTCGATGGCGAACAACTGCGGATGACTGTGCGTTCACGTCGCGCACGGACACGAAAGTGCATTACGAATGTGGTCGTCGATGTATCGGAATCACTAGCCTGTTTGCACCGCGGACATATAATAGCTCGTGTTAAAGACGACGCGGGAACGTTCCCGATCGTCCTTGTCTTCGCTGCGAATTTTCGAACCGACGGTTTCGTTTTTCCTTTCGTATTTAAGCGTGCGAATCCCTTGCGGGATTATTTAGATTATTATTTAGATTAGTTAGCAAAATTACATTTTGCAAACATTTCGGGAAGAACATATTCGTTATAAAAGTGATAAATTGCAGGGAATACCGGTATTTGTAATTTACGATCCTTACAGAAGGAAGAGAAATGACTAGGCGAGCTTCGATGTTCGATACGCAGTGGTTCGATTAATTTGCCATTCATCTTAATTATCATAAAACGCGACTTAGGTTCTCGTTTTCACAACTGCATTCGCAGTTTGCTTCTTCGATTGCACCTAAGGGCAGGACGTCGTCGTCTTGTATTTTTCTATTAATTTCATCGGAAATGTCCCTAGAGGGCAAGGTTAAATCTGGATTCGACCTTCTGTTTCCACGTGCGTCCACACGGGGGTGTATGATTTTTTTCTTTATCGTTGTGCAAGCAAAGATCCCACGATTACACAAAATTTTCTAATTTACCGTCATTAGAGCCGGCGAGATCTGATTTAAATCCCCCGTAACGATGCGATTGTTGAGATTTACGATGTTGGAGAATATAGAATCCCATTAACTCTGTGTTAAGGTCGTGCCCGGGGCTTTGTAACAGGCGACGAGATTAAGCGAGGGTCTCGGGTTGTTTAAAGAAATACCTAGTAGACCGACTGTATCATCTGGGGAGGACAGGTCCGTGATTTCTTGATCCATTTTCGGCCATGTGAACACTCTCGCGTGTTCCGAGCATTTCCAGCGCTGAACGCCGAAAGAAACGAATCCTCCCGCGGTGGAAGTCGGGAAACAGGACGGAGCAATTTCAGCGGACCATCAGTATCGTCCGAGCATGGTCGAGAGGATCGGTCCGATGATCTGATCGACTTATAACGCGGCGATCCGGTCGAATAGTCGATTCTTTTCGCGTTGCTCGCGAGCGGAGGATCCTGGCGGCGTTTAATCTGGCCTCGGTGATCGGTGGAGCGACTATCTGCACAGACAGAGAGAAAGAGAGAGAGAGAGAGAAAGAGAGGGCGAAGCAGGGTAATGCGAGCCGCAATTCGATCTATATGCTCTGCAGCCGCCTATACGTGCGCATGTTTGTAATGCGGTGCAGCCACTGCAGAGTCGATTGCATTCGTCCAAATTGCGGAGACTTAAACGCCGTGGAGCCGAGCGAGGCACGCGGCCCAGTCCGGCCGCGATATTATCGCCGCGAGGAAAACGATGATTGCCCGTCCGACCGTGACAGCCAGCAAAACGTCCCCTCTGAAACATCCTTCGCGGACTCCGTCGAAACTGCCCAGGATCCGCTCGACGTTCACCGTCCCTGTTCCTCGGCGCCACGCCTCTGTCCGAATCCGCAACATTTCGACAAATCTTCCGGACGACAGTACAGACTTCGTAAAATTTGCAGTTTCGTAGAATTCAAATGCCATTTTGCAACAAGCCTGCCCGAAGCGTTTCTTCATTTCCCTGGTTCTTCTTCGGTTTCCCTCGCAGGAGGAGGACTCTAGAACCTCGTCAAATTTCCTCGGACTTCGTCCAAATTCTCGCGGAGTCCTGTCTAAAGCCCGTCCTAAATCCTGCGAGAATCGCGTGGCACCGTTGCCCGGCAGGTCTGTCCGTGCGAATCGAATTTCGCGCGGCAGAGCATCGATACGCGCGGTCCGTCCACGCTCGCCAATTAATTTTCGCTTGCACGCGTCGCTCCGTTCGGTAAATTGACGTAAATCAAGCCGGGCCTCCTCGAGCCGGTCCCGATAGAATTGCAAATCGCGTTCGCCGCGGCTGATTTGCTCCCGCTGATCGACCGGGCCTACGCAGCCCGAATACTCGATCACCTGTCCGCGTCGCCGACGCGCGACGGCTCGTCAGAAAGACGGTCGCGGGTCGCGCGGCTGGTCGCAGGTGCCGGCGGGATCATAAAGTCGCTCGGGTCTGCTCGAAACGGCCGAGCCGTCGGATCGATACGCGAGGCGGTCCCTCGATTTCTAACGCGATCGAATCCAAGAACGCGCGGGCTTCCTCGCGATTCGATTTCTCCGTCCCGTTTTCTCGGTTCATCGTCGCGCGTTCATCTCGCAGATCTCTGGACACCGAAGCCCGCAGCACCTAGCTTTGGTTTACCCAAATGCGAGAGGGCCGAAAACGGATCTCTGTGCAACATAAAAATCTCCTGCACCCGTTACAAGTAGACCGCGGATCATTATGCGAAATAAAAATGTTGTGCATCAAACGCAAGGGACGAGAGCTGCGTAGACATTTATTCCTGTTTCGAATAACTTGCGCGAGTTCTGAATAATGTAATCGAATCGTAAATAACTTGCGTTCTTTTATCAGACATTTATTTCGTTTTTCTGTTTTTATTTATTTTTTCGCTTTTTTTATTTTATTTATTTCGAACCCTTACTTGTCCAGCGAAAGCAACAACTCGTTTGTCCCGGTGACTCGTAGTGGGCAGATACGAACAATAGATTCTACCTAGCTGCATCGGAAGTTGTTTAACAGTGTCACCGTTTTGTGTTTTATCTATTCAGCTTTTACATAAATGCGTAAAATCCACAGAGATACATATAAGAAACGCTGTTTCGCGTTCACTCGATGTTTCCACGACCGCAGACAGTCCGCAGTGCAATCGCATTTGATTCGATCGCTGTCGCCCTCGGCTCGTTAACTTTCAAGATTTACCCTTAACGGAGCGACAAGCTGCTCTAAAATAATCGACGCGGGTCGATCGAGCCAGCCGATCGGTTCGATGCTAGTCCGCCGAATTCGGAGCGCGGTCGCCATAAAATCAAGTTTTACGGCGGACTCGGGCCGCGACGACGGGGTCTGCCGCACCGGGTGCGATCGAAACGGGAGGAACCGGGTGGAAACGGTACGAAACAGGAGGGAACGGGAGGAAAGGACCGGCATGTGGCAACAGAGAACCGGTCCGGTCCTTCGCTCCGTTCGCGCTCACGTTCGCGTTCGAGGCTCGCGAATTCCCCGTGCGCTCTATTTTCCTCGCGGCTGCCGCATCGATTTTACGCCAGAATACGCTTCTATTCTTCCAGCCTGGCTGCGGACGAAGGTCGCGCCTTAATGTTTCAAGCCGCGGGTCGTCTTCCTTTAGGAACCCGCCTCGTCTCGGGGCTGTTACCGCGTCAACGCGACTCGGCCTGGTCACGTTCGGTGGTGCCGTTCCTTTCGCAAAATCCACGTTACCATAACGTCCGATAAAGTAGGATTGCGAGGGAAAACGCGGCGTGCCGATACATCGGCGAACGTCGACTTCCGCGCGTCAACCTTTGCTTTACGATTATCAAAGAAACGAATCGTGTGTAACTGTCCGCGTCTGTTCCGAGTGGATTCATTCAAATTTGAACACCGAATTCTTACGATGATCCTTTATGGTCGGGCCTAGTCTTGCGGACATTCGAAGCAGCGTTTGCACAGGTTCTCACATTGTTTACGGCACGTACAAAGAGTATTTTTATATTCATTAATCCGAGTTTTGGAAGACGCTCGCATGGACGCTCGAGATCTTTCTTGGGCTATTCCGAAGCTGAACGGCACATTTTCCCGCACGACGATTGTAAAAGATTTCGAGATACGTTAAAAATTACGGGGCATAAATAAATCGGAATGCTGAAAGCATATAGAAAGTGAAACGAAACAAAAATTGGAAAGCGCGGCTGACGGCCATGTTGTCGGAGGCACTCGGCCGACGCGCAAATGTTTCTTCCATGAACGAACGCGCGAGACTTCCGAAAAATTATCCCGGGACCGATCGGTCAGAGGAACTTGTGCGTTAACGAAAGATTTTCACCTGGAATTCCAAGAATTCCAGCGTAGATCGTTACGCGCGACTCTTTGTTGGTCGTCGATACGCGACAGGGTCGGCCGAAGGACGGACTCGAAGAGATGCGAGAACTTAGGAACGCGGTCGGATCCTCGTCGGTCGCTCTCGGACGG